CACGCCCCCCATGGCGGAGAGAGGTGGGGGGTAGTGAGGTGGGTGGAGAGAAGAGTGAGTAAAAGACGGACTTTTTTCGTTAGTGTACCTTTGCTGCTGTTGATTAATTCAAAATTGTCCACATAATTTCAGTTATGAAGTTAATAAAGAACATTCAAATAGCGAAATACTTAAAATGTGCGCGCGACAACTATAACTTTACGATCCCATTCTGTTTGAAAGTGAATTGTTACTACTGTTATTGTTCTTGTTCTTCTTGTCCTTGTTCTTCTTCTTACTATTATTATCATTATTATCATCATCATCATCATCGGTAATGTTTGTGCGATAAGTGACATTTAACTTTGTAACCCAATTCCGTTTGTAAGCGATATTCAACCAAAAGGTTGTTCATCTTTTCTAGCATCGCAGTTGATCAGTGACTTTGCCAACACACGGAAGTGACAGACCTGAACCTAAGTGTGGTCCCGACTTCTTCTCAAATTCAAACAGGATTTTTTTCCCCATGTCTCGGGCTGATGTCCCAGTCCCATCCCTGAGACTAGGTTCTGTAAGTGGGTTGTTTTTTTGTTTTTTTTTAGTAGAGGGTTTTACGGCGCTCGCAACTGCATAAGGTCATATGAGCGCCAAGGGGTGCATGTCAACAGAGAAGTTCTTACAGGGAATGAGACCTACTCTGCTCACCTCTCTAGCTTTAACAGCACAAGGTCTGTTTCGACTATCAAGGCACCCCGGAAACAGCGGGTCACAAGAGTGTGACAAACATACAAAAGAAGTAGAGGAAAAAGACAATAGTAAGGATTAGGAAAGAAAAAGCAGCAGTTCCCTGTTGCAGATCAGGCACAGTTATGAGCGTGACATGATGAATCAGCCCATTTATAATTCTACTGGGCTTGAACAAGAAAAGTCCCCCCTTCGGGAATGGCCTAAAGACACTACAGTCAGTGGCACTGCCCAGGGGGGTAGTTCTGTGTGAAGAAACTTAGAATACTTAGATCTAATTCGAAATAGTAATACTAATTGATTGGTGCCTGTAATATACGTTTTAGGCGCTTCATTGTTGCACGCAGAAGACGCAAGTTCGATTCCCGGGTAGAGGAATTTTTATCGAACGAATATCTCTCCGTCTTTCTGCAAGGACAGACATTGTGACCTTATCCGTTCGGGTTGGTCCTATCAGGCAGGGTTTTGGGGATGGCCTCCTAGACAATCTCTAAAATTGTGTCATTGGGGCATTTAACACCTATATAGTTCTGAAAGACACTTAATTTACCCAAAGTAAGGCGTTAAATTCACCACAAAAACAAAAGATTATACTTTAAAACACGCACAAGTGGTACACCAATGCAAAACTAAACGTTCACTTGAATCTGTACTTTATTAGAGAACTTAGAAACATATGATACATAACCACTATATCTATGCATATGAGTAGAAATACGGGGTAATATCAAGAAAAACAACACAAAATTAAAAAAAACAAAGCAAAAAAAAACCAGTCTACGTAAAATGGCAGAGGGGGAGCAGTTCTGGGTTTAAGGTCCTACTAGATGAAAACAGGTCGTTTAACAAACGAAGCGCTCTGTCAAGTGATAGTAAACTAGGGGAAAAGGATTTGTAACAATAAAGATAAAATTTTGATGTATAGAACTTAGGTTTTTTGTACGGAGAATTCTCTTTTGCATGTACATCCACATAACCACTTGAAATAAATACATGTACTTGATCTATGTACAAAACATTTTTTAAAATAGATATTAAGTATAGTGTTTTTTGCAAACAGTATATCTTTGTTTTATGCCAGAACCCTGCTTGTTTGTCACAAGAATGGTGTACTGAAAACAGGGCACCTGGTGCAGGAGGTTCGAGTAAAAAGAAGTTTTGTTTTATTAAGCATTTTACAGCACTTGCAACAATATTAGGTCGTATAAGTGCTGAAGAATAGAGGTGTTATGAGAGAGTAACAAACACATAAAAGGAGGAGATATAAGTAGTAAGAGAGATGAAAGGGAAGACGAAAGGAGATATGTGAGGAAAGAATCAAAACCTGTAAACATGGAAAGTGGAATTCTGGGAAGTCGAACCTTTTCTCTTATACCACAGAGGTGGCTCCTACGTCGGAGGGTAAGGCGTTTGCCTCACATTCCAAAGTAACTGGTTCGCCTCCAGTTTCATACAGTACCCAGTTATGAAGAACAAGTATTTTGCAAATTTTGGGTGGGCTTTTTTTCTCACATCCCTCTATGTTGTGAGACAGCCGCACTGGTAGATCCTACAACCGATTTATTTTCTTTCCCTCTGTCCTTTCTATGCCTTCCTTTTTCTCCTGCACTTATGGTCGTTATCTCATTAATGTGCTTCTCTTTACTTAAACTTGCATCTCTGATCATATAAAACTGTTGGGACTGACTTAGTTCTCGCATACAAGGACAGATCAGGAGGTTTATCCTGTACAGATTGCACACGCAAGGAAAACTTCAAACAGCAAAAGACAAACAGGTATGTCAAGTTACAATTTATATAATTTAATATCCCCAACCAAAACTGAAGAAACTCTGGTGACTATGAGTAACAGAATACAAAGTACATTAGATAGTAGAAAACGAGTACCCCAAAACTGGATGGGAACGATGTTCTAGAGAAGAAAATAAACTCTACGTATAGAAGTCAGAGACGTAGAGGAATGATAATCTACAATCAACTACTTGGTATGAGACGGGTTCAACAACCCTGTTATATCATACATAATGTTATAAAGTCATTTTAGTGGCCCAAAGATCTGATTTTATTTCATCTCTGACAGAATCAAGTTCAGTTGAACGAAAGCCATAAAAAGTAAAAAACAAACCAACTTCAAGTAAAGCCCATCAGGAATTCGAACCATGATCTTTCACATAGCAGTTCAGCTTGACAGTAATACTGAGCAAACAGTACGTCCTTTTCAGTCCGAGTCTTGCAAAAAATGCAGACACATACGACAGTACAATAATTCCGATAACTGATCCAATCTACGAGTTAGCCACCCTAGCATTACGTTTCCTAACGTTGGAAATCAAGGTGCTTTCTAACGTGCAAACAAAAAAAGAGAAAAAAAACAACCACATACACACAATAGCTGTTTTGTCAATTGTCACCACCATCTTTTTAATGAAGCCAAAAAAATTATATCTGCATCATAAATAGAGGATTAATACAATTCTTTATCATTATAGATGGGCCAGATAAACCTACATGACATGCACTCATCAACACAATATAGCAAGGCACAAAAACGAAAGATATCAACAACGCTTATTGTCAGACTATAGCATTAAGGAAAAGTACATGCAACATTCCTTGAGCAATGATGTACATTTCTTTAAAATTTCTTCCGGCTGTTTTGAACTAGACATTTTCTTCACTGATGCCCCTTAAGGCAAATGTAGAAATCTCATTTTCTAAAAATGAAAGAAAAAAAATTGGAAAATATATAATTTAAAACTCCATGGGTCATAATATATATACATGCACAGAAAACTACAAACATTTTAGTCATGGAAAAAAAAAATCCAACAGTAAATGTCAATGCATGAACAAACATGTCTGTATAGAAAACATTATAAAAGTACCAACAAAGCCACATTCAACATTGTCATTTGTGTTTTTTAAATGTCCCGATCTATCAAAATTTCACGAAGTCACCAAAACCATAAAGACATGTTGTCGAAAACTTACACTTTAAACAAAATTTTAGCGACAAAAATCAAAGTCATCTCTTTTGGAGATCTATTAAATCAAGATGACAAAGACAAACAGACTAATTTTTCACTGAACATTAAAAAATTTCACCTTTTTTTTTTCCTTAAAAATCAATAAATCTTTTTAATAACATAAAATGAAAACTTTTAGAGCTATTTGTATTGATCTGTTGGCTCAAAAGGTCAGCTCCAAAATTCAACATTTCGCCGTTTAGTACCAGAAACTGCTCTTCTATCCGTAAAAAAATCCTTCTCAACAATTTGTTATAACCTGATATAAACTTTTGGAATGAGTAAGTGGAGGGAAAACAACAGCTCTCCAGGCACACAACAAAGGGGACCAGGGACCGTAACACTTTGCTGTTTAGTTCTAAGTCTGTTGCCGGAGTATTGTGGCCTCCCAGGTTTTCACATCTGGCCGTTGTCTTGGCCCGCACCAACGCTGTCTGCCATGACGCCAGCCGTCTACAAGTGAGCAAAATAAATTAGCTGTACACAAAACGTTTAACATTACCCACCAAGCCTGTAGATGAAATCCACAAGGAAAAAGAGAGAAAGGAAAGCCTAAAAGTACTTGGAGGAGGGACTTAGATTCCAAGCTAAAGGAGATCAGACCTAGCTGGACAGAGGTAGAGACAATAGCCCAGGACAGAAGTACAGGGAGAGCTCTTGTCGGTGGCCTATACTCTGGCATGGGGTAAAAAAAAAAGCTGATGATAATGATGACGCAAAACATTTGTTGGACACTTTGATGAGAAGGGCAGAACAGACGATGCCATTTTGTCGGTGAAACCCTCTAATTTGTTCAAAACTTTTCAAAACGTAATATCATAATGGAACGAATATCAAATACTTATTTCAACACAACGTGACAGAACACATTGTAAAGGTAGACACAAATCACTAGACAGAAAAACTAACAATTGACAGCAACCTTCGACTGAATGACTAATTGACATGTGAGGGCAGAAAAATGTAAGTACAGGCGAACCTGCCAAGACAGCCATCTCTTTAAGATGACCGCCTGTAAAAGCGGCCACTTTCCATTTCCCTCATGCATTTTTCCTGTACAACAGCACTGCATAAAACAATAACCTGTCCAACACAGTCGAAGCCACTATACTATATCAATCAATAGTAAAAAAAAATCTCTTAGATGACCATGCAAACCTGTCTTTCCCCGACACATTGCATAGATTACATATCAGCTGGGACGCTGTGGACCTCAGTCTCTCCGATGAAAGAACCAATAATGTTTACCTAAATTGACCAGTAAGTATCAAGTTCTCAGTTGCTGGGGAGGGAGGCGTGTGAACCGGAATAATCTATAATCCCACCCACAAATCTAACCTACACAAATCTTAGTGAGAATGAGCAGCCGCTCTGTTTACCTAGTCAGGAATAATGGACATCAACATGAACTTGTGACTGAAGTGTAGCTCATTCACTGAGTGATGGCGAGCCATTCGTTCGTTTTACTATGGCACTCAGTCTTCCTCGTCTAACGAATTTCGTTTTGTTATACCCTTGCACTGCACACCGTCTTCCTGGTCTGATACACTTCATAGAATTTAACACTCACAGCAGCCAGAGATCTTCCTTTCCAACCTCAATCCAAAAGTAAGACAAACCCAATTGTAATAGACCTAAACCTGCAACCGCCTGCGGTTGTAAGGAGAACGGTTTATTTTTTAAAATTTTGATTAGTCCTGCCCAAGACGGACACCTGTCTAGGATGGCCACTTTTCCCCTCAGTAATCAGTGGCTGTCTTAAGACAGGTTTGACTTAGTTGAAACAATGTAGAAAGATACAAATGAAGTATTTGAGAAGTAAAGTAATTCTTAATGGCACCAGAGTCACAGACCCTGAAACAATTTCAAATTATCAATTCATTCATTTATTTGTATAGACCGTGTTAACACTGTTATCTTATTCAAGAAGTAGGACCTCCTAATTTAATTTCCATCTCTGATAGGACCAATCAAAAGGGTAGAGAGCCCTATAAACTTCCAAACCCCAAACAACTTAACTTCAGATTGCACTATTGAGAATTTGAACCAGAGCCATCTGCTCTGTAGTCCTCTGCTCTGTAGTCCTGCATGATATGAATTAAGCTAATGGTGCATCCTCAAAGTATCCAAGGGGGTTGTTGACAAAAAACAGAAAATAGTCCCTTATTTGGCTTTTATCCTCTCAGTGCTAGGTAAAATGTTCTGCCACAACCCAAAAAAAGAAGTCCATAAAGTCTTAAAAACAAAGATGAGTGAAATGCTTCAGGGAGCAACAAGCAGTGTCTATAACATAACAGGAAATATTTGCTACAAGAAAAAGCAATGCTCATCTGCTTAGAAGAAAAACAAAAAAAACTGAAAAATGCACAACAAAAAAATAAGACCAAAAAAAGGAAAAGGAACTCTGACTGTATACACTGTTTAAAACTACAACAAAATATAGATATCAAAAATATCTGCTCGACCCTCCCCTCCCCCACCTTCCCAAAATACTTTCAACAATCACATAAGACTTCCAAGCCTCTGATAAAACGACCACTGACAAGTCGATAACAGCAAAAGAAATTGTGGCCAGAAAAAGTTATAAAATTTCTAGAAAAAACTGTTGTTGTTGCTGTCAATGAGTGTAACTAAACTAGTCAACAAAAGTTAAGGAACGTACTGTAAAAACAGTGATATATTTGCATGCATTCTTTCGAGGTTTTACTTTTACTAGTAAAACTAGATATTGGTGAAATGTTACTCAATGACTAATGGGCTTGTACACACCA